AACGCAGCGGCACCACCAGCCAGAGCACAAGCAGGAACAGCCGCAGCTGCAGCAGGCACTGCCCTGGCCAATGGACGAATTACAGCAGTTTCCCCACCTCTGCCGCCCCTTTTCCCCCCACTTTTTGGTTCATACGTCAATTCTCCGTTCGCAAGTCAAAATGGATTTTTGCGGATGGAGATGTACGTAACTCAAAAAGTTCGCAAGCCAAGCCGTTCGCAAGTCAAGATCCCACTGTAAAGGAAAACCTTTCAACTTTGCATGGGTAGGTAATCTTTGATAAATTTCAGACTATGGGATCTTTGTGAAGTTGGGTTTTTTGTTTTTTCCCCCATGCAATATTCCAGGGCAAAGGCTTCTTCCTATCCGTTTGCCTTTTGCCTGCCGATAGCCATTTCTGGGAAAAAGCTACTAAAGGGGAATATCTATTGCCCACGAGCCACTCGGGGATGGAATCGGAGGTAGTACCAATTGTGCAACCTGTAAAGTCATGGGGCTTGTTAAAGGGGATACTGTTTGGAAAGGTTGCAAAATGAATATACGTTTCCTTTGATCTGCCATCTGCATTAGTTTTCGAAGGTGAACTATTGTAAATGGTGGAAGCTTCAGCCCTGGATCTGCGAGGAACATAGTTGAGATCTGCGAGGAACATAGTTGAGATTTTACGAAAATGGTTGAGGGGCCATCTCTTTGTTCTGGAGCCTAAATTTCTCTGATTTTGTTAGTTTGTATGTGTCTACTTTTGTGATCCATTTGAAGTTGATAGGTTGTATGCATTCCCCATTTGAAGGATACTGCTATGTTTTCAAACTTGTATAACAGGCCTGTTTACAGGATGGGCCTGTTTAATATCGGCAGATACAGTGGTGCCTCAGCGATGTTAATCCATGCAGGAAAAATCGCTGCTAAGCGAAAATAAAAAGCCCATAGAAACACATTGAAATGGAATTAATGCGTTCCTATGGGCTAAAAATTCACCTTTAAGCGAAGATCCTCCATAGGGATGGCCATTTTTGGTGCCTCTTAAGCGAGGAAACACTGGCTGGCCATTTTGTTTACCCAGTGGCCATTTTGAAACCGCCGATCAGCTGGCCCAAAATGGGGGCTTTCCGATGATCGCTTCCCTGCGATCATCGCAAAATGAAATTTCCCCATAGGGACCATCGCAAAGCGATCGCTTTTGCGATGGCAAAAAGTCCATCGCAAAGCAATTTTGTCGCTATACGGAGCAATCACTATGTGGGGCACCACTGTATCATGCACATCCTGCCTCTTAATAGCCTGGGCTTACTGGGATATATAGAATAGCATTTTGTGTTCGTTTGAGCATCCCAATCCTCACCCAGTATTTCTATTATAATCTGCAATACTTCTCACTTGGAGGGCCAGGTGCGATTCAGTTTTCTTAGTGGCCAATTGTAGATGGTGATCTGGTTCACAGGCGGGGTGGTGGGGTTTCAGCCAGAGTGGGCTCTTCACTATCTGAGGTTACTGTCCCTTGGGGATTTTCTCTCTGTACATTTTCCTTGCATGCTGACACTGCAAGTGGACGCTGGGGATAGGGTTCTTCTGGGGTGTTTCCCTGCCATTTGTCTATAGTCAGTAACTCTGGATTGGAAGATGTTAAGTCGGGTCCCTCTGTGGCATTGTTTAGGTCATATGGGTCTGCCCAAGCCTTTAGGGTCAGTCCAGAGATGGGCATTCGGTCCTGAGTTGTTTTTTCCGGTGACTGTATCTCTGACCTTTTAATGCTGGGGAGTTATCTTTTTGTGTTGGATCTTTTGTGCACATCTCCTTTTTTGCCTGAGGTCCTCTCTGTGCAGTATCCTGAGGATTTGAAGGTGCTGCTTCATTTAAAATCCCCAGCTTTATCATGTCAGCAATGCATTGTAGTGTTGCTTTAAAATCAGCGATTTCTTTCTTTAAAGTATGCAGCTTATTGAAGATGCTTTGATTGGATTTATTTATTTATTTATTTATTTATTTATTTATTTATTTATTTATTTATTTATTTATTTCCCGCCTATCTAGTCAATTACGACCACTCTAGGCGGATTGGGCTGAGAGGAAGCATTGATTGCATAGTTGGGTGTAAATAATCCTAATTTGTTCACTCCCAAGCCTTTGAACCCCTTGGGTACCTATTTTCACCTTCATAATGGTTCTCCTTGGGTCCTGGGGTTGGTAGGTTTAGGTGTTTATAAAGTCCATAGAGGCAGAGAGAGCCTTCTCTAGGAATTCTGGGTCCAGAGACCAGTTGCTTCTCACCTCTCCAGATTACAGGGTTTTGGCTGCAACCTCCTGGTGGGTCTCCCTATTACTTATGCCTACATTGTCCACAGTAAGTAATGTAATGTAAATTCCATAATCAGTGGTCTTTGATTATGAGAAGAAGCATATTCACATTGGCTAATAAGATCTGTAGCCACAAAGAAGTCTTGTGTTGATTACTAGTTTGAGTTTTTTAATCTTGCCACAGATTGGTCGTAGTAACAACCATGGTTGCACTCCACAGATTTAGCTTATTTAGTAGCCCCTTCTACTTGTGCAGGTATAAACTTCCACTCAAAGGGAGCAGAATATAGGCCTTGCACAGTTACAGTCAATAGCAGCTCTATAGAAAACTTTTTAGCTCTGGTAAGCACTTTAAATGTTAACCATTAAAGGGCAGGTTATTCTACCCTGTTCCTTAGAGGACTTTTACTCACTGTAAGCCAACTGTGAGTTGACGAGATTGACAGAGCAAGGCCCCTGCTGAGTTCCATACTTCCCTCCAAAGGTAGATGGCTTCTCTTATACAAAAGAGATGCTTTTCTCACAGACTTAATTCATGTAGATGCTTGCTACCCACTGGGGGAAAGGGATGTGGCTTCTTTTAGGAGATGAGAGACTAGTTTATCAGAGGCTCTTGGAGATTAGTGCTTATGCCTGGTCTCCTCCTCTCTGTGTTCAAGGATGTCGTTCTCAGAGGAAGGAGTAGTGGTGTTATTATTTATTCTGTTTTCTTTCCAAAGCTTCAATTGTATAATACAGAGGCAGTAGGTACTTCTAATGTCTCTCGGCAGTTCCAGCAGTCATTATCTCTGTGTTTCCTTTGACAAGGTTAAAATCATGCCTCCAGCCGGAAGGTAAGGTGGCAGTTTGAACTAGATAAATGCAATAAAGCCATATAAAATTAAATAAAATAAGATAAAATCACAGCTGCTTAGCCACAAGCATGCTGCCTGGCAGAGCTGAAACTGGAAGTCCCTCTGTAACCCAACTGTGTATACACACCTGATGTTCTAGTCAGTCCATATTTTGTTAATTTGCTAATCAGAATATCACAGGGCACTTTGTCTAAACCTTTCCTGAGGTCAGGATACATTACATCTACACTATTCTCGCAGTCTAATTTTAAAAAGTTACTTAAAATGAAAGTTGAGTACTTCCTTTGTCATATTTTCATTCCCCCCCCACTAATTAAGCAGCTTTTTATCTGCCTTTTGTTTTGCTGTACTGAAGAATGTTTTCTTGTTGTTCTTAGTCTCTTCAAAACCTCAGTTCATTCTCACCTTTCCTATTGCTGTCCTTGCATTATTTTTCCCACTTTGCTCTTCCTTTGTGGTCTGGTCTTCTTTCCACTTACTATAACTGCCTTTTTTTGTTTTAAGGTCCTCTCTGAACTTGTTTTGAAGCAGCTTTCCTTTTTTCCAATCTTACATTCTTTTGTTTTAATTATTTGTAGTTGTGACTTTAGAATTGCTTTTCTTAAACACCCACCCATTTTGGATTCTTTTGTTAGGATTTCCTACTATGAGATCTTACCTACACAGTATTATTGTCGTAAGTTATTGGCTCTCCTAAAATCTAGCCTCCCTGTGTGGTTTACGCTCACCTTTAGCTTCCTTCAAAATCAAGCATTCCAGGACTGGATGGTCACACTTCCTGCTGAAGTTCTCCTTATTGTTACTTCATCCAGTAAAGACCACTAGCTAGAACCAATTCAAGAATAGCTAACAGTTTCTTCCTCCTCCTTTGTGTAGGAGGAAAGTGTCAGTAATACAAGCCAGGAGCTCCGTAGAAGTCCATGTTTGGCAGAATGTAGCACCCCAAAGGTATCAGGGTAACTAATTGCTAATTACATTATGTATCTTTGACAATTCTTACTGTTTCTTTTACAGAGGCTTCACCTGCATGTTTTTAATTGGGCTTCTTAATTGGGTGTTAGACTCCAACCATCACATTCCTTTCATTTTTAACCACAATTTTAATGCTGTTCATGCAGCTGAGAAGTCTATCCTCCTCTATTTCTGTGTGGGAATATATGTTTTTGATTATACCATCTTTTTTATTAAAGGACCTTTCTCTCTTTCTCTCTCTGTCTCAAAAGGTGGCCACAAACAGGCTGATCAGCATTATAAGGAGCCATCTGTTCAATTGGTGAAAAGAATTGAGAGTGAAGCTCAAAAAGAAAATAAGAAATGTTCAAAAGGAGTTAAAAAGGAGAAGGGAAGCCACCCAATGAAGGGTGAAAAGGAATTGGCAGCTTCTAAGGGTGTTGATCCCAGTGAAAGCCTGATCATCAGGGAAAAACCCAAAGGAGAACAAAGCAGAAAGGATTCCATCATAGGAAAAGCATTCAAATGTACCTCAGACATAGTAGACCCAGTAGAAAAACCAAATCAGTGTGTAGACCATGGAGAGTGCATCCGTGTAAGCTGCAGTCCTCTTTCACATGAAATAGCCGAGAGAGGGGAGAAAGAGTATAAATGCATACAGTTTGGAAAAAGCTTCACTGCAAGCAGTAATCTTTGTATTCATGAAATGACTCACACTGAGAAGACACCATATAATTGCTTGGAATGTGGAAAGAACTTCATTGACAGTACCAGCCTTAGTTCACATAGAAGAACTCACACAGGGGAGAAACCACATAAATGTGTGGATTGTGGGAAGAGTTTCAGGCACAGCAGTAACCTTCATTCTCATCAAAGAACTCACACTGGGGAGAAACCGTATGAATGCATGGAATGTGGAAAGAGCTTCAGTCGGAGTGGTAACCTAAGTTTACATCAAAGAACTCACACTGAGGAGAAACCATATAAATGCATGGAATGTGGAAAGAGCTTCAGACAGAGTGGTAACCTTAGGTCACATCAAAGAACTCACACTGGGGAGAAACCGTACAAATGCATGGAATGTGAAAAGAGCTTCAGTTCCAGCAGTAAACTAAATTCACATCAAAGAACTCACACAGGGGAGAAACCTTATAAATGCCTGGAATGTGGAAAGAACTTCAATGACAGTACCAGCCTTAGTTTACATAAAAGAACTCACACAGGGGAGAAACCATATAAATGCATGGAATGTGGAAAATGTTTCATTCAGAGCAGTCACCTTAGTTTACATAAAAGAACTCACACCGGAGAGAAACCATATGAATGCATGGAATGTGGAAAGAGCTTCAGTTCCAGCAGTAAACTAAATTCACATCAAAGAACTCACACAGGTGAGAAACCGTATAAATGCATGGAATGTGGAAAGAACTTCATTGACAGTACCAACCTTAGTTTACATCAAAGAACTCACACAGGAGAGAAACCATATAAATGCATGGAATGTGGACTGAGCTTCAATCGGAAGGATAACCTGAATTCACATCAAAGAACTCACACAGGTGAGAAACCATATATATGCTTGGAATGTGGAAAGAGCTTCAGTTACAGTAGTAAACTAAATACACATCAAAGAACTCACACAGGTGAGAAACCGTATAATTGCATGGAATGTGGGAAAAAGTTCATTGACAGTACCAGCCTTAGTTCACATAGAAGAACTCATACAGGGGAGAAACCGTATAATTGCATGGAATGTGGGAAGAGTTTCAGACACACCAGTAACCTTCGTTTCCATCAAAGAACTCACACTGGGGAGAAACCGTATGAATGCATGGAATGTGGGAAGAGGTTCAGTCGAAGCAGTCACCTTAGTTCACATCAAAGAACTCACACTGGGGAGAAACCGTATGAATGCATGTTATGTGGAAAAAGCTTTATTCAGAGTGGTGACCTTAAGTTACATCATAGAACTCACACGGGGGAGAAACCATATGAATGCATGGAATGTGGAAAGAGGTTCAGTCGGAGCAGTCACCTTCGTTCCCATCGAAGAACTCACACTGGGGAGAAACCATATAAATACATGGAATGTGAAAACAGCTTCAGTCAGAAATTTAACCTTGGTTCACATGAAATAATTCATACAGAGGAAAAGCTATAGAGATGCTTGGCATGCAGAAGAGGTTTAAGTCTGATCAGTTACCTTAATACACATCAAAGAACACACACAGGGGTGAAACCATGTAAATGTACTGTATGTTGAAAGAACGTCAGTCAGCAGTAGCCTTAAGGAGAGAAAGCATGCACGTACATGTAATGTGAATGGAGCTTCAAACTTCGAACTGTTAAAAGTGAACCCCAGCAAACAGATAAGTTTGCAAATAAATATAGAAATGGGGAGATCAAACAAGATGGCACTAAATATAACCACATTGTATACCTCTTTGAAAGCAGAAGTTCAAATGGCAGTGGGTAAGACAAAAAGAGGTGAAAAAACTCAACTCAGCCCTCCATCCTACCAAGGATGGTTAAATGAGTGCCCAGCTTGCTAGGAGGCAAAGTGTTCCATTATTACGTTGTAAATCACCCAGAGCATATCTTAGGTGTTCCTGAGATGGTATGTGAGTTCAAGCAAAAGGAGCAGCAACAACAATCATGTTATGGAAAATGGATTAAAAATATTGAGAGATGAAGTTGAGCATCGAGAAAATTGTAATTGCCATAAAAACTTCCATTTAAGGAATTTTAAACAGGGAGAAAAGACAGTGATCTTGAGATATATAGTCCTGAAGTGCATTTAAAACCTCTGCCTGCCTGGATTTCAAGATGATGTCAGAGGATTTAATTTTGAAAGAGTTCACAGACTGGGTCCTAAGCAAGAAACATGGTGAATAGAGGTACACGTTATAGAACAAACAGCAGTGCTCCATTCATTAAACAACATAGAATCATAGAGTTGGAAGAGACCACTGAGGCCATCCAGTCCAACCCCGCCATACTGGAACATCCATCAAATTACTCCAAACAGATGGCTATTCAGCCTCTGCTTAACAGCCTCCAAAGTAGGAGACTCCACCACCCTTCGAGGCAGCCTATTCCACTGCCGGACAGGTCTGACCCTCAAGAAGTTCTTCCTAATATTCAGATAGAATCTCTTTTCCTGTAGTTGCTCCGTGTCCTAGTCTCTGGAGCCCTGGAAAACAAACCTGTCCTCTCAAGCTTGAAACCCATAGCTATTATGTTCCATCTTCTTTTTGTAAGGCTTAACATTCCCAACTCCCTAAGCCACTCCTGGCAAGACATTGCTTCCAGACCTTTATCCATTTTAGTCAGTCTCCTCTGGACACGTTCCAGGTTGTCAATATCCTTTTTGGATTCAGGTGCCGAAAACTGGAAACAATACTCCAGGTGAGGTCTGACCAAAGCAGAATAGAATTGCACTATTGCTTCCCCCCCCCCAAAAAAAAGTGGTCTGAAGCTCAACAGCAAAAACAGTAAGATCATGGCCACTGGTCCCATCACCTCTTGGCAAATAGAAGGGGAAGATATGGAGGCAATGACAGATTTTACTTTCTTGGGCTCCATGATCACTACAGATGCTGAGAGCAGCCACGAAATTAAAAGACACCTGCTTCTTGGGAGGAAAGTAATGACAAACCCCGACAGCATCTTTAAAAGAGACATCACATTGCCGACAAATGTCCGCATAGGCAAAGCTGTGTTTTTTCCACTAGTGATGTATGGAAGTGAGAACTGGACCATAAAGGCTGACCGCCGAAGAATTGATGCTTTTTAATTGTGGTGCTGGAGGAGATTCTTGAGAGTCCCCTGGACTGGGAAGAGATCAAACCAATACATTCTGAACGAAATCAACCCTGAGTGCTCACTGGAAGGATAGATCCTGAAGCTGAGGGTCCAATACTTTGGCCATCTCATGAGAACAGAAGACTCCCTGGAAAAGACCCTGGTGTTGGGAAACTGTGAGGGCAAAAGGAGAAGGGGACGACAGAGGACGAGATGGTTGGACAGTGTCATCGAAGCAACCAACATGAATTTGACCCAACTCCGGGGGGCCGTGTAAGACAGGGCTTGGCGTGCTCTGGTCCATGGGGTCACGAAGAGTCGGACACGACTTAGCAACTAAATAACAATCACTTCCCTTGATCTTGACGCTATACTATTGATGCAACAAAGAATCACATTGACTTTCTTGGCAGCTGCATCACGCTGCTGACTCATGTTCAGCTTGTGGTCTGCCAATACTCCTAGATCCCTTTCACAGGTCCTGTTGTCTATCCAGATGTCTTCCATCCTATATCTGTGCAGTTCATTTTTTCTGCCTAGCTGCAGGACCTTACATTTCTCCCTGTTGAAATTCATTTTGTTAGTTTTGGCTCACGACTAATCTGTCAAGGTCATTTTGAATTTTAATCCTGTCCTCTGGGGAATTAGCAAATCCTGCCAATTTGGTATCATCTGCAAATTTAATCAACATGCTCTATTCCTTCATCCAAGTCACTGATAAAGATGTTGAATAATACGGAACCCAGAACAGAACCTTGGGGTACATCTTTCTAGGACAAAGGGGAGCCATTTGTGATCTCCCTTTAGGTTTGTTCAGTCAACCAATTACAAATTCACCCAACAGTAGCCCTATCTATCCCACATTCTACTAGCTTCTTTTCAAGAACATAGTGAGGAAACTTGTTGAAGGCCTTACTGAAATCAAAATACAGTACAGTGGTGCCTTGCTTGACGACATTAATTCATTCGCTGTGGAGCGAAAAGTCAAACGAATTTTAAAAAAAAACATTGAAACACAGTGAAAACTGTTCAGTGTGTTCCAATGGGCTGAATACCTGCTCATCCAGCGAAGATCCTCCATGCGGCGTCCATTTTCTGGTGCCTGTTAAGTGAAAAATCAGTCCTAAAAACTGGAGGGCCATTTTCTTCAGCCAGCTGCCATTTTGAAACCCAATGATCAGCTGTTTGCTGATCGACGTAAAGCGAAAATCGGTTCCCGAAGCAGGGAACTGATCATTGTGAAATGAAAAAAAACCATTTAAACCATTGTTTTGCAATCGCAAAAGCAATCGCAAAAACTTCAACATTAAGTAGATTTGTTGTAGAGTGGGTTAATCATCCAGCGAGGCACGACTGTATGCTACATCCACAGTGTTCCCGTCATCCACCAGGTCTGTAACTATCAAAAAAAGAGAGATCAAATTAGTCTGGCATGACTTGTTCTTGAGAAACCCATGTTGACTCTAGTAATGACAGGATTGCTTTCTAAGTAATTACAAACTGCTTAATGTTCTTCTCTAGAATCTTTCCAAAAATTGATGTCAGACAAGGGTTGATAATTCTTTAAGCCTCCCCCCTTTTGAAGATAGGGATGACATTTGCCCTCCTCCCATCTGTGGGGACTTCCCCCATTCTCCAAGAATTCTCAAAGATTATTGCCAATGGTTCTCATATTCTGCCAGTTCTTTTAATATCCTTGGATGGAATTCGTCTGGCCCAGGAGACTAAAATTCATCCAAGGTAGCCAGGTAATCCTGTACTACTTCTCGACCTATTCTGTGCTGCATTTCCCGCACTGCATTTCACCTATTCTTCCTCAGGTTGAGCACTATTTTCCTTTTTGGAAAAAACTGAGGCAAAGAAGGTGTTGAGTAGTTCTGTCTTTTCCCTGTCCCCTGTTAGTAATTGGCCATCATCTGCATGCAGAGACCCTGTCATTTCCTTCTTTTTCCTTTTAATGCTCACATAACTAAAAAAAATTCCTTTTTATTATCTTTAATCTCTCTAGCAAGCCTAAGTTCGTGCTGTACTTTAGCTTTTCTTACCACCCCCCTACATGTACTGGCTATTTGGTGCTTTCCCTGTTTTTCCATTTCTTGTACATTTTTTTTTACACTTAGCTAAGTTGAAATTTCTTTAGTCAACCATTCTGGTTTCTTTAGACATCTCCCATTTTTCCTTCTTGGAACAGTCTTAGATTGTGCCTTTAGTATCTCAGTTCTAAAAAATTCTCATCCATCCTGTACTCCCCTCTCCTTTAGTGCCTCCATCAACGGAATGTCAGCCAATAATTCTCTAAATTTACAAAAATTGGCTTTTTTGAAGTCTAGAATGCGTGAATGGTTTCCCATTCCCACTATATAACAAATTCCAAGAGAGCATGGTCACTCCCACTTAAGGCTCCCACCACTTCAATCTCATTAACAAGGTCCTCCTTGTTAACATACCTGAAAGGCTGTTATACAAGATCTGTTCTCGTATCATCCCAGAATGCAGGGCATGCAACAATGGGATCAAATTACAAGAAACCAGATTTCACTTGAATATCCAGAAAAAAAATCCAACTGTCCGACCAGTACAACAATTGAACTAGCTTTACTTCAAGAAGTGGTGTATGCTCTCAGCACTGGAAGCATTCAAGAGAAATCTGAACAACTACCTGGCAGATATCCTTTGATTTGTATTTGAGTAGGGGATTGGACTCATTGGACTTTCCAGCTGCATTACTCTATGAAAGGGGTTGTTGTATAAAGGGGGCAGGATTGAAATCTTCAATGACTTGGCTACTGAAACAGTTAAGTGGCACAGACAGTGGAAGCTGTTTTACTGAGTCACTTTAGAACCAAGGAATTGGGGAATTTCCCTTGAGATTGATTGGACCGGACATAAAACTAAGATTCTAACTGCAAGAGGACAACTACAAGATTTGTTTAAGGAGAGGAAGAGTTGGACTGAAAAAGCAGAAAAGCTGAGGAACAGATTTCTCAAAGAAATAGAATGCAGTTATGGTAGAGGAAAGGAAGAAAATGTTAAAATAGAAGATTTCTTGTATAGTCCCTGGGTTGGTTCATTTTTTACCTCTGGGGAAAGATTATAAGCAACTCAGTTACAATATATCATATTAATTTGCTGGAGTGATTGTAAGAGCAGATTAAAAACTCTTGGAATTTAAATTTTAAAAGTAAGAAACAGCTCATATAATTATAAAATAGTCTGAAAATTTTAAAAAAATCTGCATTGATATCTCTCTATATGTAAGTGTGGGCTAGGAGAATGAGGAGTTTTTGCTACAAAAAATAGTAGCCATTGATCCCACAAATAATACTCCACATGGAACAGCTTGTTTTAATATGCAGGAGGTCAGGTGACCTTAGTGCCATCAGTTGGGTAGAGGGGAAGGGTTTGTGGAGAGAGGAGGAGGATGGAGAGGGGAGAAGAAGAGGAAGGTTATGCAGACAATTTGTTTTATACGGTTGCAATACAATAACTTAACATCCTTTAATATATACTCAAAGAAGATTGAAAGCACAGCTAACCAGTTTAGTGAGTGACACATTAGATTACTTAATTTATTTCCCAGATAAACAATACAGAATCATGTGTGCTAATCATCAGTTGGGTACTGCTGTGTTATTGCTACAAGAAACACACGATAGAAATCTAGGGCAATATATAGGAGAGCACTTTAGTGGAACAGGAGAGGGTAGCAGAAAATATAAAAATTTTGGTACCCTGTACTGTTCCACTATATATATAGGGTAGATTTATTGAATATGTGCTAACAAAAGAAGGGAAAGTTCCAAATCAGGAATCAATGCAGTTCTGCAGAAGAGGACAATAAAGAAGAATAAAGACAATGGGAGAAGATGATTGCAGGTGGTCCCAACTAGGGTGGTGCAGAACACAGTTGATTTGTATTTTGGTTTATGTATTTTATGTTGTAGTTTGTAAATATAAAATAATTTAAAAAAAAAAATCTAGAGCAATATATAGGAGAGCACTTTAGTGCAATGAAGAAATCTAAAGGAGAGGGTAACAATTTGATTTAAAATTCTCAATTTGAAATGGTAGATCAGCTGTAGGATTCTGACAGCAGGGAACATAATTGATCATAGGGAGACTAGGCAGCCAATAGATTACTTTTGGGTCATATGCTCTTGATACAGGCCAGGCAAAATTTATGCACAATCTTTTGAGCATAAATCAGTACAAAAGATTGTGCATACATTTTCGGCAGTTTGTGTCAGGAGAAATAATCCAGGGATGAGATGCTAATTTTCTTTTAAATATGAAAGGTGACGCAATCAAAAAAATAGGGAGATGTCTGCTGGTGGA